CAATTAATGCTCAAATCGGGCTGCTGATAGCTAATCACGTTCGAGAATTTTGTTATAGTTTTGATTAATAAATGTAATTACGAGTAATCGATGGGTAATCAACAGGTTATCTATGAGTTATAAGATAAAAAGCATCAATGAATAATCGATGACATCGACATGACATCGTGTTGGTCATCGATTACTCATCGAATTCGATGTCATCGATCAGCGATCGATTAGTTACGTCTGAGTAACAGGAGCAGTTAGCACAGGTTGGATTGGAGCCAGAACTCAATTTTTACATGCTACGACCACTACACTGACTTTCCTTGACAACATTTCTACCGATGCGGACTTTCAATGGAATGTTGGTACAGAGTTTGGTTGGTACTGATATTGTTCCTCACGATCGTTAAGTTGGGATCTCACATAATTAGAGGAATCAACTATTTTTCTTGGGACGCCACAGTAAAGTCAAGCTAACAGGTTTTGGTTGGTTTACGTCACCAAACAAAGAATAACTACATACTCTCTTGGCGCACACCTACTCGACAAATTAGATATCACTCTGAATTAAAATACCTTTTCTCCCCGCTTGCATTTCCCCTTTTATGTCATCAACGCGTGCATTTAATTCCTTCACGTCTGACCCGACTTCCTTCACTTGTGTCTTCACATCTGTTAGTTCAGCTTTCACGTCTGACCCCACATCTTCCACTTGTGTCTTCACATCTGCTAGTTCAGTTTTCACATCTTTCACTTCCGAACCGACATCTTGTATTTGTGTCTTCACATCTGTTAGTTCAGCTTTCACGGCTGACCCCACGTCTTCTACTTGTGTCTTCACATCTGTTAGTTCCGTTTTCACATTTTTTACGTCTGACCCCACATCTTCCACTTGTGTCTTGACATTTGTTACATCAGTTTTCACCTCTTTCACGTCTGACCCGACATCATCCACCCTTGACTCGATCTTGGTAAGATGATCGTCGATTTGTTTAAACTTGATGGCAGCATCTTTTTCCTTCTTCAACTCGTCTTCCAATTGTTGAAGTCTTGTTGTGGGAAAGTCGTCTTCGCCAAGCTTTCCAATCTCATCAATCTTAGTGGTGTTTTGTCCAAGTGCAGTAAAAGCATCCTTTGCCAGCTG